CGCGCGTCCCGCTGCCGCCGGGCCGCGCCATGGCGGAGCCTCCCGGAGGGTCGCCGTCGCCGCCCGAGCGATCGTGGCCTGAGGAGGACCCCAAGCAGCCACCTGCGGAGGCTCTAGAGCCCCAAGAGGTCCCTCCTTGGCTTCCGGAGCCGGGAGGGGCTCCCTATGAGTACCAGGACCCCTACCAAGCGCAAGAGCAAGGAGGAAGTGCCTACCAGCCTCCCCCGCCGGGACAAGTGCCCTATCCAGCAGAGGCCCCAGAGAAGTACTTCTACCAGCTCCAGGGGACGGAACAAGACCCCTATGAGGTACCAGGAATAGCCGAGGATCAGAGGTACGCGCTGGGGCAAGACATGTACCCGACAGAAGAGCCAAGCCAAAGTGCCTATGAATCATATGCACCAGGATTAGACCCCTATCAAAGACATGATCCAAGAAGTGCCTACGAGACATATACAGTACATGATCCCTATCAAGGCTATGAGCCAGGGCACGGCCCCTACCAACCACATGAGCCTGGATATGGCCTCTACGAGACGGGATATAGTCCTGAAGATAAGCAGATACCAGAACCTAACACCCAAATGCTGGCAGTTCAGAATGCAAAAGCCTATTTGCAGAAGAGCAGCACAGCATCCGGCCTGAACCTGTGAGTCTGAAAAGGGGACAAGGTTGAAAGTGGTAGAAAGGATGAGTGGAAAGAAAAAGTGTCTAGGTAAAAGGGCAAATGGTTACATTAAGAAATGGAGGGTTACCAAGGGATGGAGGAAGAGAAAATACCTTATAATTGCAATGATTCATCTTTATGTGGATAGCTGTGTGTGCCCAGCATCTTTCAGAATAAAAATTCCCAAGGGAGTTTAGAGTGTTCAAAATTTGATTAACAGCACATTTATATTCAGCTTCAGCTCTCGAGTCAGGTGTGGAATAAAACAAAAATGGAAGATAGGACTGCTCTTAAATACATTACAATCAGACTAGTTTCAAATTTAATTTACCATAATGCTACCTGATCTCTTTATATCTAATTATTCCAGTGATTTCTGCAAAGCTGTAGGTGATGAGCTTCTACTTTTGAAGTTAAAATCATATTCCTCTAAGACTCTGGTATAGTAGGTCAATAATATTTATATTTATATGACAGATATGATCATCTTTCTAACATGCTAACAAAGATCCTGGATGAACAGCCCAGAAACGTAGTAGACATAATTGAGAATATCAGCAAGGATGTGAAGTGGTCCCAGTTTCAGAAAAAAATGGATACTCTCCGTGATGAGCATGAGATTCTTCCAACATTTGAAGTTGCAGAAAAGCGTAAAGCTTTGTTCCTTAAGGCACATGGAGAAGGAGACGAAGAGCTAGAAGACGAGATAGTGAGTTATTATCGAAAAAAAATAAATATCAGTTCTACCAGGCAGATGGGTGGGAGGATAGTGGGAAATGAAGGGAGGAAGGGACCAAATTGTGGTCTTCGTAGTAGCCACATGTTTCTGGACATCATGGCCTCTTACCTACATGATAGTCCCTAGCACTTAAGTTCTTTGTAGAGAGTGGTCACTTATAAGAATTCTGACTTTCCTAATTTTGCAGTAATTAGAAGTGAATTGGAAATTTGACATTTGTATTCCAAAAGCTGCAATTCATCTGCGGTCTCATCTTTATCCTTAAAATGGCACTTTTAATTTAGTAAATGATATTAGAAGATATTCCTGTAAAACCCTTTAAGAAGAATGGTAGTACAGGAAAGTGAAGAATGACTTTCACTGGATAATATATTTAATCTTTCAAAGATATAATTTGCTTATTATTCACCTCTGGCTTTGGATTTTCTTTTCTAGGCAGACACCCCTCTACCCAATGTGATGGAAACAGCCTTTTATTTTGAACAGGCTGGAATTGGCTTGAGCAAAGATGAAACCTATCACATATTCCTTGCCCTTAAACAACTAATTAGTGTTCAGCCAATCCAGACCTGTCGTTTTTGGGGCAAGATTTTAGGCCTGGAGATGAACTATATTATAGCTGAAGTACAGTACCATGACAGAGCAGATGACGAGGAAGCAGAAGAGGAAGAAGACAATGAGGAAGGAGGGAAAGGGATGGATGAGGAAAAAGAAGCAGATGAAGATGAAGAGAAAGAAGAGGATGATGAACCACCACAATCCACCTATAAGCCCCCACCTCTGATCCCAAAAGAAGACACGGGCACTGGGACTAATAAATACATCTACTTTGTCTGTAACGAGCCAGGCAAACCCTGGGTGAAGTTGCCTCCGGTGACTCCGGCACAGATTGTCTGTGCCAGGAAGATCAAAAAGTTCTTCACTGGCAGGCTGGATGCTCCTGTTGTCAGCTTTCCTCCTTTCCCTGGAAA